AATTATTTTTTAACAAGGGGTATAGAATTTGAAGTGTAAACCATGTCTCAGAGATACCTTGTTTTACACACTATCTCATTTTGCACACTATCCCTTCTCATAGTTAATGAAAATGGGTAAAAATAGGCATAGTCCCAACTAATAATCTAAGCAATCATCAGGAGGCTACCATAAATGCCCTTCATTGATAATGAGATTGATGACTACCTTATATGCCATCCTAGAGCCTTCATCCAATAGCTGATGGAAGCAGAAGCAGACACCCACAGCTAAATACTGAGCTGAACTCTGGAATCCAGTTGCAGAGAGGGAGGAGTGATGAGCAAATGGGTCAAGACCAGGCTGGAGAAACTCACAGAAACAGCTGACCTGAACAAGGGGGAGCTCATGGACCCCAGACTGGTACCTGAGAAACCAGTATAGGACTGTTCCAGACCTCCTGAAAGAGGATGTCAGTTTGGAGATCTGGTTAATCTATGGGGCCTCTGTTAGTGGGTCAGTATTTATCCCTAGTAAACAAATGGACTTTGAGAGCCCATTCCACATAGAGAGATACTCTCTCAGGTCTAGGCCCTGCTCCAAATGAATTGACAGACTTTGAAATCCCCCCCTGGAAGGCCACACCCTCCCTGGGGAGCAGCAAGGGGATGGGATAGGGGATTGGTGGGGGACAGGGAGCAGGAACTGCTATTGACATGTGGCGTCTGCTTCTCGGCCTGTGTCTGAGAACATGCGGAGGGTGTCGGGGATTGACAACACAGAGACTTGTTCAACGATGTAAAGAAAACTTTAAGCAGGCCCCAAAAAGGTTCAAGAAAACTTCCTAAGAAAAGCTCCCACCAGAGAAGCTTCTGCTCTCTCCTCTACCCTGGCTGGTTCTGCTCTGACACCAAAAACTGATCTGGGCATGTCAGAAGAGGCGGTTAGTCTTTGGACAAGGTCGAGGTCAGGGTGGTTTCTGTGGGCAGGCCTTTTCCAGGAACTTATTGCCCCTGGACATTGTATTGTTTTTAGTAAACATGTTATTAGTAAACATTGTCTTACAGCTGCCTACTCCCAGGCAGAAGGGGAAGTGGGTCTCTGCTCAAGGTGTGGTGTTCCCACATTGACATGTAAAAATTGTTTCTAATTTAAATTAAAAAGGGGGGTGGGGGGACCAGGCCCAATGTCTCACAGGTGAGGGAGCTTGCAGCCAAGCCTGGGAGTCAGACTTTAGTCCCAAGACTCATATGGTGGAAGGAGAGAATCCACCCTTGAAAGTTGTCCTCTGACCTCCAAATATGCACTGTGGTGCCCTCATGGACCTACACACACACCAGCCCCTGCACGATGTCCTCTGACCTCCACATGTACACTGTGACACACACACACACACACACACACACACACACACACACACACAGAATAAGTAAATGAAGAGGAAGGTGTAGCTAGAGGCAAAGGATGAAACACATTTCCAAATTTTGACCAGTTTTTTTGTTGCCTCCTTGAGTGAAAACAAAAAGATAGAATCCAGCATCCAATCATATAACAAAAATTATTTCCTTGTGCAATTTTATTTATTTATTTATTTATTTTTGGTTTTTCGAGACAGGGTTTCTCTCTATTGTTTTGGAGGCTGTCCTGGAGCTCGCTCTGTAGACCAGGCTGGCCTCGAACTCACAGAGATCCACCTGCCTCTGCCTCCCGAGTGCTGGGATTAAAGGCGTGCGCCACCACCGCCCGGCTAATTTTTTTTTTTATCTAAGTCTTTGCAGAGATTAAACAGATGAATTTTTGGCTAATCATTGAAAATGTTCAGTGTGTAGCTGATTGAAATGAAGTATCACCACGCCAGCCGTAGCTTCTGGGAGTACATCCTGAGAGCTAGATTAGTTGGCTTTCTTCAGTTTACGGTGGGACTTCTAAAAACCAGTCCCTTTATTCATAAGAGATTTGAAGGAGTGTTTACTTTTTATGAAGTATGTACCATAGAAAGCACTTCTCATATAGCTAGGTCAGCTAGTGTCAGGAAAGTGCTTTATTTTTATAGTTGAAACATTATGATAGTACGATACTAGTATAAAGAAAGGTCAGATAACATTTCAGCTCTTCTGAAGCCAACTGCCTTTTCATTTAAAAAAAAAAGCCATTTCTTACCCACTGTTACTCATGTCAAGAGGTTAAAATGGTGTAAGTATCTACTTTTGCAAAATGTATTCTCATCTTACCCATAACCATAAATTCTTGAAAGATAAGTAGCGTTATGCATCATGCTGCCTTGAGTGCCTCCATATGTAACAATTTGCACAATTGTTTTAATATCTCATCCTCTCACTCCACAATTCTCTTCCCCTGTACAGCTGTTTAAAAAGTCACAGCATTCTCCAGGCAACAGTCATTGTAAAAACAGCTGCCATGGAGTGTAAGGGAAAGAGTTTAGGAAATTATGTGTTCATTCATTTGAAATGTTGAAAACATAACACTGCATTTAAATGCACTGCAAATTTTCCTGCGCACTTAAAACTGTAGGTCTCTGTTCCAAAGAGAGGAGAAAGGACGAGTCAGTCAGAGATGTGATGGAACTAACAACTTGGCTCAGGTCTGTGGGCAGAAGAAGGGGCGGTCCAGAGGGGCACCCTAGGGAGCTTGTCAGAGGGAGGCTGCGCCAGGGCCCTTTCCAGCCTCTGGTCAACAGTAATTATGAATTTGCCCAGTTGAGAGTAGTGCAGAATGCAAACCTGCCTGTCCTCTATGATTACTGGAAATGTGCTGTGCAGGAGGTGGGTGGCATGCCTGGTTTTCCATTGTCATATATTCTCAGGAAGCCTTTGAGGTAAAACATGCAGAGACAGTGGGAGAATGCTCATTGTTTAGATGATGGAGAAGCAGTGTTTAAGTTTAAAACCACAGCGCTCAGCCTGTAACTTCACGCTGACCCCCAGCAACAGTGCTACAGAGGGCGTTCCTCTACACTAGGCTGTTGCCATTTAAAAGGCAGTTTGGAACTCCTTGTCCTTCTTTTGCTCTGTTCCCTTCACTTGTGGGTTGCTGTCTGTGAGCTGGGGTGGTGTTTCCCGGTAAGGTGTTATGCTGGGCTGAGGCTAATCTCTGTAAAGTGTTAGCATTTGTTCCTCCTTTCCCCTGTCATCAATCTTTCACACTCATATCAAACCCCTAATGTATCAGCAGGCTTCCCAGAGCTCCTGGTTAAAATTACCTTTGCTTTTGGTAAACTCTGAATCTTCAAGCTTGGTGTTTTCAGCTGCCCCCTGTGGATTCCGGGAAGCCTATCTCTGCATCCCGCCCTGCCAGTCTCTCACTTTACTCCTGTAACCAGAACCCTGTGAGGAGCTTGCTCATTATCCCAACCCCGCCCACCATCCTTCCCTCAGCAGAGGAAGTGTGTGCATCTGGCCAGTAATTGGAGTGGCTTATGCAAACTATGAGAAAGTGGTCCGAACTCCGGAAGCTTCAGGCTTGTGTTGTTTTTCCACTTTGAAGCTAGTTTTTTGTTGTTGTTTCTGAACAACTCCTTCCTCTTCTGATGCTACTGAAATATGCAAATTTGCCTTCAAGGTACATACTACAATTAACTGATTTCTTAAAATTTTTTCTCCCTTATTTTCAGGTCAGAGTAGTTCAGATTTCCTTTAAAGTTTTGACCTTCTTGCATCATATTTCACTCTTGCTCGCTTTCGTAAGTGTGGATCTAAGACACTGTCCATTTTCGCTGACAGTGGACTCCAATCTAGGTAAACCTGTGACGCTTCCATGCCCCTAGCACCGTTGGGTGGCCACACACGGATGTGAGGCTGGAACTTGATTCTGTTTGGAAACTGACTTTTCCTTCCTAGGATGATGCTTTGTTGATTAGTGTTCCTGTGACTCTTAACAGTGTTTCTGACTAAAGTCCCCTTTCCAGTGTTGTGAATTATCTCATTAAGAGTGGTAGCAAGTACATAGGGGATTTTTTTGAAAAGGAATGGAAAAACTAGAAAATGTCCTTTTTCTCCGCAAGCAGTGGTATATTAGTATTGGTTGCCTCTGGTAAGTAAGATTCATGAATACCAAGTGCAAACCTTAACTTTCTGTTTGGCAAAGAGCCTTAGGCTGCTGATGGTGAATTAATAGTTGAGGTATTTGAAATTAAAGATACTCACTTTGAAAGTCACTTAAATGTTTTTTACTCTTCAAAGCATAATGGACATGCTTGCATTCTCTTAAAAATAATGTTAGCATTTCTAAAAATTGCTACAAAAGAAAAAAAAGCATTTATAGGTTAAAATAAAACCAACAAAAACCAAAAAGTACCTGCATGGTCCTGCATCTTGAGGTCTCTGTAACTCACTTAGGTCACCACAGCCCCGCCCTATGACAGTCCCTGTATTCCCTCTACAGAATAACTGAGCTCAGTGTCAGCAGTTACATCGTTTAGATTAGGAGCCAAGACTGTGTTCTCAGGACTACTTTTGTGAAATGTAGTTAAGCATGTTATGTTTATATGTGCACATCACAGTTTTTATCTACTTTAATTAAAATATTGGCATGCTCAATTATTTGAAATAAAGAAGTCATATTGGAAACAGGAAAATCCCATGCAGATCATTTGTATAATTTTTTTCTGAAAAAAAATTTTTTCCTTGGTTATCCTCCTTAAGTTCTTGGATTGGTCAAAGGAGAACGCATTATGAGTTTAAACCACCATACTCAGTTTTGTTATAGTATAGATGAAATAAACTTTGAGTATTCTCAAAAAGAACTTTGTGATCCTAACAAATTTTTGCTTTGTTCAGTTTGAAATTTTGTGTATAATTTTTCAATATTTTCTTTGTTAAAATTAATATATAATTACCAATTATACCATCTTCCCCTCCCAGCACTTCCATACGATTCCCCCACCCCTGTGTGTCACAGAACCTCCCACCCTGCCTCCTCCCTCTCTAAACCAGTGTTTAACTTCTTATGGCCCCTACATCTTCATTTTTATGGTACTAGTTTTATTTGGTTTGTCTTTTCAGTGGGTACACCTTACTACATGTCTCCAGAGAGAATACATGAAAATGGATACAACTTCAAGTCTGACATCTGGTCTCTTGGCTGTCTGCTATATGAGGTAGGCACTGTGATAAATTCTGTACATTGTTACAGTTTCATGTATGTTATGTATCCAGTATTATAGTATACATTTATTTTTTCCAGATATTTTGCAGTCAGCAAGTCCCCACATATTTATTTTGTCTAATATGTTTTTATTTTTTTGGCTTAGGACCTTTTGTTTTTTTAATACTTATTTTTGCTATAATGCTATTCTGCTTATCATGTGTGTATATACATAGAGATACATGTGTGAAAACTTTTTAGTGCATTGCAGGAGAATGATGCCATGGATTTATGACGTGAAAATATTTATCTTTATCGGTATTTTGTTTCCCATTTACACAGGTAAAATCCAGCCGTAAGGATGGCTTGCAAATTTAAGCCTTGCGGGTTGTCACTTAAGCTTGAGAACTCTGTTCTTAGCATAGGAAGGTAGAGTCCCAAGGTGCTGTTCTCTGTTTATATTGTGAGGCAGTCTTGTATCTTTTGAAAGGCACCTAAGTAACAGTTTCCACCATCCTCCAGAGCAGCAGCAGTGATAGTATCCCAACTTAGTGACTCCTAAGATAGAATTTTAATTGTCTGTCAGGAAAATACAGAGTCAGAGATGCTAATTAAAAAGCAGTCTGCATCTTAGTGAGCTTTATTGAATTGAAGAAGCACAGTACATGGAGTTGCTTTTGTGTTTCAAGTAGGAAGTCTGAAGTTTGTGTCTGTCTCTCCTGACTCCGGTGTCATCTGCTGTGCTTGGAAGTGGCCAGTCCAGGTGCTTTGTGAATATGTGCTGACCGTTTGTGGTTTTGCTGAGTGCAGTTGCCTTAATTTAGGAAAGTGGCCTTCTGGTTTTGTGCTTTCTCCGATGACTGAGGACTACTTGAAGGATTTTAACATGCTCTTGTGTGTAATATTACGATTAGTGATGTGGAACGGCATGCTGCTGTGTGTCCATGGGACGAGGAGGGCCATCCATGCTTCTGTGTATGGATTTGGGGTGACAAGGGCTTTGGCTCACTTGGGATACTGATGATGGTTTTGCGGTCTGTGTTAATAAGACTTGGTGTAATAGTATTGCTGCTATAATATTTAAAAGTAAATCACTTCATATATTTAAAATACTTTTTTAACCAGGTAAGGTACTATTAGAGTCGTCTAGGCCATAATCTAATATCAAAATAATATTTTCCCTTTAAATGACCTGAAAGTACATAGGAAATGATTTTCTAACCATGAGATTAAAGTTAGCCAAGTAGAGGTAGTGCTAGAGAAGGTTGTGTAATTCTTGCAATCTTGTATCAAAATTAAAACAATTATCCACATTTTATAATTGCATTTAAGAGGAAGGATCTGTTTTTAATGTATGCTTAACATGGTCACTAAAATAAGAGTTCTCTCGGAACATTTCCATGTCCTCAAGGTATACATGTTGTGCTAATTTCAAGTTCAAGTGTTTGTCGTGTTCATGTTAGGATCCATCTCAATGCATTTTCTCGAATCTTCCATACAAGAGTTGAGAACTTTTGAAAAGATGTAATCTATCTTTATTCTTGGTGGATTATGATAGAAAAAATAAAACAAACTCTATTGGGGGCTACAGACAATTTTGAAAACCTAGTTTACACTAAAAAATAACAGAGAAAATACTGAATATAAAGATAAATTTAGTGCAATTTATGTTTTCACTATTGTCTGTAGAACCCAGATGAGTTGGGTTTTTTCCCCTCTATAATAATCCACGAAGAAATTACTGTTAACAATGAAAGAGTAGGAAGCCCTTTTTAGAACATATTTTAAACTCAAGAAATTAGACTTTCAAATATCCCTGAAACCTTTGAAAAAACTAGGAGTGGAGTTTTAATTGATATGCAACAAAGTAGACTTTACTAATTAAAATCAAGATGCTGAGCTTTGCTACATGGACCTTTACATGGAAAAGTAGGTTTTACACATTTCCTTTATTGTTCAGTGTGGCAATTGCATCCTTACAGGGTTGTAGGTTGGTGGCTTACAGTTCAAAAAAAAAGAGAGCTGCCACCAGCCCCGAAGACAGACAGTGGGCTTTCGTCCCTCCGACACCCCCAGAATACTAATGAGGAAAGTCAGACCCTGGAGGTCAGGGAGCGAGTCAATCATTCTAGCGATCGTCTCAGTGTGGAGGATCAAATTAGCCTGAAAAATTCAGCTGCTGGGAGGAGAGGGCGAGCAGCTGTCAGGGGCAGCGCCGAGATGCACTAATGAACCAGATGAATAGTGCAAAAGCTTGAAAATAAAAACAGGACAGTTGACATTTTTCATCTGTCAAAGCAGGAGATGCATGAAAATATACTATTCCTGTTTAACTCCTTAGGGGACATTCAGATTTTTTTTTAACACTCTGCAGTATTGAGACAAAAGTAATATAATGAACTCCTAGCATGTGATAGAGAATGAATGTACATTTACGTAAGGTCTTACAAAGGAGGGGAGATGATAGTTTATATCTATAGTGTATTTTTAAGGTGGCATATTTTAACATTTGATTTTTATCATATAGTGCCCTTTGCATTTTAAACGTAGACAATGTTTTTGATGGTGGGTCCTACGTTAGAAATTCCCACTCAGTGCTGTATGTTTAGGGCAGTCTCATCGTTATTTACTTTATGTCGTCATGCAGAACCGTTCCCAAGGTTGTTCTGTGGGGGTATGTGTAGGTTTTATATAAAATGTGGGCTAGGTAAAACTGTATGTAAAACTGCCTTCTAGGTGAGATTTCCAATCCTGTTCCCTCCTGGCTGAGGCTCTGAAGGAGTTAATACCCTGTCTGGAGTACAGAAGACAGATGAGAGCCATTTTCAGCTTGCCCTGTCCCCACTGACGCTCACTGAGTAGCACAGCATGGACCAGCGTGTTCCACACACACTCTGCCTGTCTGGGAAATGTACACATTGTCCTTCCAAAATCAAACTTATTAGCACATGTAGAAAAGGGTGACTGACTTCGGGGCAGCTTGGCACTCCGTGTTGTATTCTTGCCGCTGCGGCTCACAGATTTAGAAGGTTCTGAACAGGATGCGAACATTTTAAATTGAATTTTTAGTTTGTAACCTTGCTTACCAAGTAGTTGCTTGCGCTTTTAAATGTCAAGTTAAAACCTTGTCTTAAAATACATTTAAATTCAGTAATGTCTCTTTTAAAGTGGTTTATATCCTGTAAGTCATGTTTTTCTGCATAAAAATCACCTTTGGATAGCTTGGCTTGCATCTTGGAATCATGGATATTCTTTGAAACACATTGAATGTTTCTGAGACGTTATCAAAACAAACTTATGACTTAAGCTATTTAAGGATCAGTTACAATATTAAAAAACAGTATTTTCTCCCTTAAGATGACCTTTTTTTTTCTCTAAAGAATGTACTATGCATGAAAAAGTCGTATGCATTCTTTTCCCTAAGGCCTTGCTAAATTTAACTCGGTTTTAATGTCAGCTTTTTGTTATGTTAGACCATTGCATTGCTGAGCCATGCCATATGACATCTGCTTTGCCATGAATTAGGCTAGTTGTTTTTATGGCTATGCACATACACACAAATATCTTTCACTTCTTCATATTGTTTTACATTGTATGAGATATATTAGTCATTTCTCTTTAGGAATTTTAAATGTTTCAGAAACAGAATTAAGGTTTTTTTAATCACTTAATGGTACTCAGAAAGTGATAATCATAAAAACAAAATGCTCATATAATTTTCTTCAAAGTATTCATAAATTATTTTCTATCCCAGTGTCCTGTACCTGATGAAGTCACCTTTTAGTTGCTCTGTGTGTACATCAGTTTCACTGTGAGTGTCTTACAGATGGCCGCCTTGCAGAGCCCTTTCTACGGTGACAAAATGAATCTATACTCTCTGTGTAAGAAGATAGAGCAGTGTGACTACCCGCCTCTCCCGTCAGATCACTACTCAGAGGAGGTAAGTGATCCTCATCCCCTGCCTTTGCTCATTTTGCTATCTAAGGAATCTTACTTCATTCAAAATACAGATGGGTAGCACAGGCGGTAGAAAGAGCACTTTCCATTGTTTTCATTCGCTCAGAGACTTGCAGTTTAATTGATAAAACAACTCTGTGAGTCACAGTGAGGAGCAGAATACAACACAGCATGTTCAAGAACCATAGACAGTTGATGTTACCCCTGTGGGTGAACCCACTGGAGCAGAATACAACACAGCATGTTCAAGAACCATAGACAGTTGATGTTACTCCTGTGGGTGAACCCACTGAAGGGAGGAAGGAGTGTTCTGACTCAGCATCTTGTGGCAGCCTGAGTCCCCCTTCAGTCCTGACCCCTCAGGTAACAATGAAAACTTACTCAGGTAGAACCTCACTCCTCACGTTTTACAAAGCTGAACTGTGTGCCTCTCAGCCACCTGTCTCTGAACTTTTTTCTTTCTTACCTTTTCTCCTTGGACAATACCCATCCTATCACCCCCTCACTGCTTCAGGCAGATTCCTCTGGGTTAGGGTTTTAAAGTTACCATTGTAGATGTGTTTATAAAATGCATTGGATAAGAAAGACCATTTTCAAAGACTTTGCGATAGGAATTCTTGCTTGCCTTGCTAATGCACTGGAATGAGTTGTTTTTGGCACTTCCCCAACATCCAGGTTTTCATTAAACAGTATCTTCCATTTTTATCCTGATTTTTTTGAAAGGGTATACAATAGCGGTGTCTCAGGTCAACTAAGATGAGCTCACAAAGGCTCTTTGGGGACTTCTCATCTGGGATCTGCCCAAGGAAGCAGTAAAGCCTTAGACATCTCATCTCATGAGCAACAGATATTTTGCCCCAGGAAAATGGAAAGGAACAAAAGAAATATAGAATAATTATAATGTTCACTTATTAAGTAATCTTGTCATACTTTCTATTGTGAAATGAATAGCATCTGGTCATCTAAAGATTTTTTTTTAGTTATACGTAGATCATGTGTGTTCCTAGAATATAATCAGTACACATTCATCTCGTAGTTTTGATACTGATAATGAATGATGCCTACATTTTTGCTTCGTGGCATTGTATTTAGATATTAGGAAGCAATGATGATAATGCTCTTATGTTAGCCATTTTTAATTACTATTTTGGGTCTAGAATATAAATATGGCATTTCACAAAACCAACTTCAGAACTATAGGCCCAGAGATACAGTAGAGTGTGAACAATAATGCAGAACGATAGCAAGAATGTCAGGGGCCTTTCTTTGTTGTGTCATTCATGCTGTCTCCTTTTTTCCGTGAAGCACATGAATATTTCACATATCTGCATCCTCATCCCCTATTCTTCTTGACTAATTTTCAGACTGTCTGAATTTGCATTTCACATGGTAGCTGATTAGGAGATGCCGAGTGCAGCAGCGAAGCCTCAGCAGGCGGTTACCATGGTGACCTTCAGCAGGATTTTAATGATGATACCACTAGTGGTTCGTTGAAGTCGGCCTGCCTGCAGGGCTACTTCACTGCAGCTAAGTGTGAAGTTGGATATGCGGCTTCTCAGCCAAGGGGCAAATATCAAAGTCTGGCCCAGATAGAAGGTCTTCAAGTTGGGAAAGGAAAATAGATTCCACTTTTTACTTCACTCTGTATAGTTACCAGTTCCAAAAAGAGCTATAAAGCAAAACATGTTATATGGTGCATCTTCCAAAAGAGACAGTGCAGTTTCTGGTATTGGTAAAGTCCTTTGTCATGCCCTGATGAAACAGGAGGCTGTAGTGCCTTGGTAAACATGGAAAATAATTCTTAAGAAACAAATTTGAAAAGCATGCAGTCTGCATAACAAATATTGCTTATTCTGATTTAAAATACAGAGTTCTACAAGACTTTGAAATGCTGATGGTGTTAATAAATATTTCCCCTGCTTAATTAGGAACTCAATTTGTTTATAAACAAATTATTTCAAATTTGTGGTAGCAATAGAATTCCAAACAGATTTAGTGCCACCATAATGATATTAGTAATATTGGTAATATCCCAGTGTTTATTATAATAGTTTAAAAATCCACAGTGGTATTTAAGTTGGCAGCAAATGGGACCAATGAGAAGGTAAGTGCCAACTTTAACACCGAACTTGTACGAAAGGCTACATCACTGTGTCTTCTAATAGTTAAAATAGTAGGTTTCTGTAAGTGAAAAAATAAAGAAGAATAACTTTAGTATGTTGAGAGCTTTCTAAGTTTACTTAGGCACTGATGTTTTTTCATTTTTAAGTTTTCTGCCCACAGAGAATTTAAAAAGAGACACTTCATAGTATGTTACTTGTCAGCCTGCCTTAGCAATAGGAGTTGTAAGGAAAATAATAAAACTTCTAAATACAATCATTCCATTTCTATTTAAAAGAACTCAGGAGCTAAAAAAAAATGGAAATTTTCCCCATGTTAATGTCCTACAAGGAAAAGACAATTCAACATTAAAAACCAAAGTAATATGCTTTGGAAACCTAAGTATGTACATCAAATCTTTCCTTTTGAAGTATGAGGTTTAGAGACATATAATGTAGATTCTAGACTGAAATATTTTAGCCATAAATGGAGACTTAGAAATAGTGTTTCATAGCCTTTGTTTATGATGACTTTGTTTTGTGTCTAGTTGATATTATTCTTTTTCTTTCCCTGTAACAACCTCATCTATGTGTGAATAGATAGAGAATTACCATACTTAAAAATTGTCATTGAAAGCAGTTGCCTTCCCTTAGATAGCTCTCTGTTTAAATTGTCTAATGGGTGATGACAAAGCAAGCACTTCTTGGGGATTTGCTATTTATTAGGAATCATAAGCCAAGTACCTGTTCAGCCTGCCTGCACTCAAAAACTTAATGGTCATGGACATATCTTCTTTCCTCTCACTGCCAGTGTGAGTTCCACTAGAAGGTCCATGAATTTTCATGTTTTCAAAGATGCTGTTTCCTCGTTGCCAGGCCTCCTGCTGTATCATTTTCCCTGACTCCTCTCCGCCCACACCTTCCCTTGGCAGTCATCTCTCATGATAGCTGCTCCTTGGTATATGAACCTTACCCTGTACAATGTCAAGCATCTACAGCAACTCTGCTCTTCTCTACATTTCAAGGGCCTCGTGGATTTAAAAACTTGGGTGATGAACTGATTGGAGGAGTAAAGTAATTGATGTTAAAAAGAAGAAATTTACAAAACCGAACGAATCACCTAGTCAGTAATGATTCTCTCTCAGACTTCTCATAGGAATTGTTTGATGAGGCACAAGGTCACCCAAAGGCATACCAGGAGACGCTATAGCTCTCTGTCACTGAAACTCTTCCCTGGGTGCATTTTCTCCTCGTTCTTTTACACAAGCATCATCAACTATGAAACATCTGGGGTATTTACTAGGAAATGACACATACTTGGTCCTTGTACTTAATTTCCTGAAGAGACACTGGGATGGTCATCAGGATTATACATTTGTTCTGTCAGTCATCCCTTTAGACTCAACAGAAGAAAAAAAATCACTTGAATATCCAGATAGGAAAGACAGTTCTGAAGTTCCAGATGGAATGAGGATGGGATAGTCTTTGTTCCAGAAAATAGCAAAGTAGATTGAAGACTTGATAACAGTGCTTTAAGTAGAAAAAAAAATTAAGTACCCATAAAACCTTGGAAAGATGGTTAATTGTTTTTAATAAAGTGGCCTGTATTATTAGAACTGTAGATTTGAATTGACTGCTGTGGCAGATGTTATTTAGTCATTTTGTTTGGGGGTAACACTAGACTTTGAACCCACGGCCCTGTGCCTGCTGGGCAAGTACTCTATTGAGATAAAGAATCTCACTAAGTTGTGTAGGCTGAGTTTAAAATCACACTGTAGCCCTGGCTGCCTTTGACCTAGTGATTCTCCTAACTTGAACCCTCAAGTAGCTGATACCATAAGCCTGTGCTACCAGATGCTCCTCAGTAATTTTAAATTTATCATATATAAATAAGATAGAGACTGTCTTTTCCGGCTGCATTTTAGAAAACTCACTAGCTTCTTAAATCTTGTTACTGCTTTTTATAACTGGAGAAAACAAATTATGTTAAGTGTTAGTGAGTTTCATTGTCCTCCAATCTTTAGATCAGTTTGTTGTTTTAAAAACACTTTATTGGAACCATGTGTCATAAGATTACCCTGTGAGGTGTGGACCTGGGGATTGTATCCCCCCAGAACTGATAGGTAAGGGGCTGGAAGCTTTTACCTCAGCTGCAGCCTGCTCTGCTTTCTTTCACCTGTTGTGTTATTTTCGCCATCTTAGGACAGTGTGCCTTCCTTTTCACTGTTTCCTTTCTGGCTGGAGAGCAGGGTTGTGTTTGCTCGTGGTTTCTTACCTTTCTGGTCCTTCCTGGGTTGGTACATCATGGCAGCCTGGTGCTTCACTCACAAGCTAAGAACTGGCAGTAAACGCTTCTTATTCCTTTTGGGACATACACACACACAAATAGAACTGGCAAAAGAAAAACTTTCATTCTTGGGACACGTGTGTATGCATGCATGTACACATGAACACATAAGTAATAGTAATCATTTTTCAGAGTATTTAGAATACAAGGATTATAAAGAGTCCTTATTTTCCCAATGACAGTCAACTAGTAATTTTTTAATTCAATAAAACTGATCTCATGAATTTTATAGGTTATTGGAGAACATGATGTATTTATATGGCTTTGATAAAAACTAATACTGCATTTTCAACTTACAGAATCACCCTCTTACCAATATTTTGTTAAGAAAAGGAAGGCACAGGCTTTGTTCCAGTTTATGTAAGACCAGGTAGACTTGGTATGTTGAGAGCAGTAGTGAACTTGATTTGCCTGTGCAGGGTGGGACTCACCCTGCTGGTGCTGCAGCGAGCTCATGCCCTAGAAACACTGTTCAGGTGTTCACCATAGGCAGTTCTTGACTGCTGTAGACTTTTCAGTCTTCAATCCTTTCATTTC